ATCGGATCTTGAGCCGGCATACAAGATACATGCATATAGTAGTACAGAACAACTTACAGCTTTCCTTCCACCAGCTTTTCCTTCTTTTCGGAGTCATCATCTGCTCCTGCACCATCCTTGGCTTCCTCGTTGGCCTCTGTCTGTTGTTTGGTAGTTGCAGGTGCAGCGATTGTGTCGTCTGCCTGCGCATCTGCCTTCAGACCGACCGTTGCTGAGGCTTCAGCTGGCACCTCAGGCTTCGTCTCGCTGTCAGCCTTCGTCTCTTCTTCGCTGTCCTTCGGCACCCCACCGATCTGCAGCGACTTCTCGATCTCCTTCGTGATCTTGTCCACCTCGTCCTCCACCGCCTCCTCCTGTGCCTTCTTCTCTTCCTCGGTCGTCTTCGTGTCCTTCCTGGTCTGCGCCTCCTCCTCCTCGGTCTCGCCGTTGCGGTGCGCATACTTATCGGTTTCCGCCCACATCGCGTCGAGCTCGCGGATCCAGTCTTCGCCGAGGGCTTCGCACAGCTCGCGCACGACCTCGTCGGTGCGGCCGAGGAGCGTCACGTCGTCCGCGCGCGTGCCAATGTCTCCCGCGGACGTCATATTGACGAGTACACGTGGACAGCCCTCGGGCACCATCCGCGTGAGCGAGGCGAAGGGGTGCACGGTGAGCGAGGTACCCATCACGATCAGCAGGTCCGCGGTGCGTAGCAAGCCGATCGTCTTGTGGAAGCGCGGCGGGAGCTGTCCATGTCTCTATTCAGCTAAAAGGTTCCAAACATTGTCAAAGAACGCTTTACAGATTCGCCGAAAAAGACAATGTCGGGCTTGATGAGCCCGCCGCACTCGTTGCAGTACGCGATTTCGCCGGCGAGGATCTGGTCCCGGAGCTTGTGCCCGTCGTACCACGAGCCGCACTCGATGCAGTGCTGGTCCGCGAAGCTGCCATGAGCCTCGACGACCGCGCTCTCGGGCACGCCTGCGAGCCGCTCGAGCGTGTCGATATTCTGCGTGAAGCACATACCCAACAGCTTGCGATTGTGCAGCACACGCACGAAGGAGTGCGTCGGCGTCGGGCGGTACCTCCCCGGGAAGAGCTCTTTGGCGAGGGTATAGACTATGCGTGTGTCAGTGCCGTGATTTTCAGCGAAGTATGCGCGAATAGCTTACAGGGCACTGGATTCTCGCGGAAGAAATTGATTTCGAAGACTGCCTCGGGGTGAGGCAAGTTAAGGCGTTGAAGATTAGACTACATGAGCAGTCATGTATACGCCAGTTTCCTTGTGCTAGCTCTGTAACACTCACGTATAAGCCTGAACAGCAACGGCCATGAGTGTAAGTTGTAAAGGTAACTCGCAGACGACATACCTGTTCCTGGTGACCGGAAGTCTGGAATGCCAGCACTTGTACTGACTCCTAAGATAGTGTGTCAGCAGGTAAAAAGTACAATTACACCTGAACGGGATCGCACCTGCGCCCAGCTATAGAGATGATCAATACGCGAGGAGTTCGAACTTGTGAGACCTTGAACGCCACGAGACTCACCATGACAAAGATGTTCTTGCATTTGTCCGATTTCATGTACTTTGCTATGGATGGAATATCTCTGTCCTCGAGGATCTCTGGAAGCCCCTCGTATTCTTCCTGGGATTGCTCGTTACCCATGACTTACGTCTACAGCCTAGGAATGCGGCGAATGCTCAGAAGATAAGACGGTCCAATATGCAGGAGGATCGAGACAGATCCTGGGACTGTATCCTCTAGTTATGTATCCTGAATTGGGCCCGCGTAGGTTGCAAATCTTTCGCTTTGAGTTGCCAGAGATAGCCTCAGGACAGCCTCAGAATGATGATGTCAACGGGAGAAATAGCTGTGATCGTAATCTCAGATCCCAATTTTACGAACCGCCCAGCACGCGCTGCTGTTTCGGGCAGGTGTAGTGTTCTGTTGCATTATGATGACGATAATACGATAATCCCAACAGCGATCACACGACAGATCCAGTATTGCGACTCGCGTTGCATATGTAAATCCTATGTGACCGCTCTTGCTTGCATCTCGTCATGAGTATTATTTATCATCGACCTATTCGGGCGCCTTCAGCCACTTCGCAAAAGTCTTCATCTCGGGGTACAAGCTCCTTGCAAGTTCTGGAACAGCAGTCTCATGCCCGGCATACTTCGGGAAATAGCCGACATCTCTGTACGCCCGATGACGCTCCAACCATTGCGGAATTGTTTCCTGTGGGACGTGGTCGACAAAGACAGCACGAGCAGACTGTCCGGTCACCTCGGAGTAGACCTCTGCAACTTGCGGAATAGTGAGGACTTCGCCCACGGCGGGTACTTCTGCATTGGCCCACTCCGAGGGGTCCTCAAGAATAGCGCGTACGAGTGGGCCGAGGTCCGTAGGGTCTACAAGGGGGACTAGAAGATCTCACAGGTTGAGAAACCGTAGGATGCAGAGAGCTATGACAGCGTACAGAGAGTGCGCTCATTGATTGTGGACCAGCGGAACTCTGTGAAGCCGTCCACAGGGTTCACTATTGGCTCCATGTAGCCCGAGAAGCCA